GAAACTCCGTCTCAAAAAAAAAAAAAAATCTCGGCTGAGTGCAGTGGCTGGTGTCTGTAATCCCAGCACTTTAGAGGGCCAAGATGGGAGGATCACTTGCTTTCAGGAGTCTGAGACTAGCCTGGGCAACATGGTAAGACCACATTTCTACAAAATTTTAAAAAATTAACTGGGCATGGTGGTGCATGCCTGTGGTCTCAGCTACTTGGGAGGTTGAGGTGGGAGAATTTCTTGAGCCCAGGAGGCTGCAGTGAGCCATTTTTGCACCATTTTACTCCAGCTTGGGAGACAGAGTGAGACCCTGTCTCAAAAAAAAGAAGAAAAGTTTATTTGGCTTACAGATGTGCAGGGTGTATAAGAAGTGTGACAGCAGCATCTACTTCTGGTGAAGGCTTTAGGCTGCTTCCAATCAGCAGAAGACAGCATAGAGCTAGCATGTGCAGAGACAACATGATAAGAGAAGAAACCAATGGGGGGATGGGGACAGCCACACTTTGTTTTTTTTTGAGACAAGGGCTGTCACCTAGGCCGGAGTACACTTGCATGGTCATGGCTCATTGCAGCTTTCACCTCTTGGGCTCAAGAGACCCTCCTATCTTAGCCCCTTAGCCTCCTCAGTAGCTGGGACTAGGGAAGCACACCACCATGCCCAGCTAATTAAAAAAGTTTTTGGCTGAACATCGTGGTTCATGCCTGTAATCCCAACTTTTTTTTTTTCTTTTTTTTTTCAGGTGCCAGGCTAGAGTGTAGCGGCTTGATCTCAGCTCACTGCAACCTCCGCCTCCCAGGTTCAAGCAATTCTCCCGCCTCAGCCTCCCATAATCCCAGCTTTTTGGGAGGCTGAGGCGGGCAGATCACTTGAGCTTAGGAGTCAGAGACCATCTTGGGCAATGTGGGGAAACTCTGTCTCTACAAAAAATACAAAAATTAGCTGGGCATGGTGGCGCTGTGCCTGTAGTCCCAGCTACTACTCCAGAGGCTGAGGTGGGAGGATAGCTTGAGCCCAGAAGGCAGAGGTTGCAGTGAGCCAAACTGGTGTCTTTGTGCTCCAGCCTGGGTGTCAGAGCCAGACCCTGTCTCAAAAAAAAAAA